CTAGCTCATCCCTGCCAAGGCAAGGGGACCGTCTCCCAACAGCACTGGCAGAGGTCACCGAGGGACCCTTTTGCCCAGTCTCCTGGTGCCTTGGAGCCAGCCTAGGCCATGTGTAGAGGGCTAGGCCTGTCCTGGAGGTCTGGCCCACAGCCCCTTTTCTTCCTCCTGCCCACCCACTTGGTCTCAGCTGGCACAGTCTGTGCAGACCCCAGCCCTGCCCCTCTGCAACAGCCTGGCCTGGCTGGAGTCCACTACCTGGCTCCCAGCCATGGCCTTCATCTAAATCTAGCACCCTTCTCTCTTCCTCCTTTTTAACTGTGGAAGCACTTACGTGTACACAGGACACACAAAGCCTATATGTTCGTTAGAGAATAGCCACAGCGGGCTGCATGATGCCACCTGATGCCACAGCCTGGCCCCAAGGCATCCCACAGAGTGTGGGCTTGGCTCCCACCCACTGGCACCACCTTTCTGGTAAACTGCTACCCTGGGCCAGCTCCCTTCCTGTGTGGCCCTGGTTCCACAGCACTCGCAGCCATCTAAAGGGGCCCTGTTAACAGACAGTTCTGTTGTTGAAGAACAAGACCACAGGCTACATCTGACTGTGGTCTGCAGCTGATGGGTTAGTAGATCGGAGCTAGAAGGACAAAACACCACTAGACTCTGGCTGTGTTGTGGAAATTGTCTTCACAACTGTCAGCCACTGTTGTGGGCGAGACATGGTCATCAGTCAGCCAGGGTCATGGGGCTAGGCAGTAACTTGGTACAGACCCAGGCAGGTGGCCTTGGGCTAACCTATCACCCTGCTGCTGTCCTCTTACCCACTGTGGCCCTCCCTCCAAGGGCAACACTGCTGCTCTCAAAAGTTCCTTTCGCTGCCAGCCCCTTGTCCAGCCGCAGGGTACAGCTCTGTCTCCAGGTAACACCTGTGCCCAGACAGTACCAGGCACGGTGCAGGTCTTCTCATAGAACCCCGTGGCAGCATGCAGAGGTGCCTGGTTAGACAGGTAGGCCAACTGCACACTTTGGCCTCCTGGTGCTGTCCCCTACTCCCAAGCCAGCACACTGGCAGCATACGACCCACACGGAAGTCTGAGGCCAGCACATGATAGGTGGTGAAAACACATACCCTGGGCCAGCAGGAGCACTCTGAGGGCCTGAAGATGCAGCCAGGCACAGTCCAGAGGCTTCTGGGGCAGTGAGTGTTGGCAGAGCCTAGGAGGACACATCTTTCGTGTGCACCTCATGGGGGTTAGAAGAAAGAAAGAAAAGAAGAAATCAGGCAGCCAATAACAGCCAATTGATGTTGGATGCACTTGGCAGGGCCACAAAGGAGTATTATTGCTGTGTGGGCATGCACAAGGAGAGCATGTCCAGCCTTCTTAGCTACAGGGATGCTTAGATGCCACCCCTCACCAGGATTTGCCCTTGGGTCTCCCTGTTGGGGTGTGGCCTACAGGATCCCACTGGTGGGACAGACTACATCCCAGAGAGTATGTGAATGTGTAGGCTTTATGGATGCCAGGGCAGGGACCGCCACACTGAAGCTCCAGGGCAGTTGCGCACGAGTCTTGGAGGACACTGCAAGGTACTCAGGGATGGATTGGGCCAGGTGAGCACTGTCAGAGAAAGCTGTGGGCTCCCTGCTCCAGGTTGTGAGGGGCAGAGGCTGAGGCTTGCAATCTAGGAATGGCAGAGACACTGTCAACCGAGAGCCACGAGACCAGGAGACTGGCAGCGTCAGCCTGTGCGCAGCCTCCTACCCCATCCAGAAGTGCCCTCTGGCTCCAAGCCCGGCCCTGCAGTTGCTGTGGTTGTCACATGGGGCACGTGCCCTGCCCCAGGCCTCCCTGCCCTTCAAGGGTGCAGTCTCAGGCCTGGCGACTAGAGGGGAGGCCATATGTGGTCCAGAGAGCGAGGGGCACCTTCCTGGCCAGAGGGATGGGCTGAGCTGCTGGGCCAGAGTGAGGACCAGCAGCCTTGCTCTAGGAAGGACACCTGGACTGAGTTTGTCAAGTCATAATCACTTTTCTCTCTCTGGTTGCTTTACTGTAGCAGTTAGAAATTTTATTGGTGCTGCATAGCAATAACATTTAGGAGAGCTGAAAAGCTGTCACGTAAAAACACTGTTGGAAAATACCATGGCGGTTTCATGGCAGTGTGTGCCCAGCCCCATGGCACTCCACATGGGGGAGGGACATGAAGTCCAGGCATCACTGTGAGGCTGGGTTCTGGGGCAGGGATCTGGGGGTGCAGCGCCCTGCAGAGGCTCCCACAGCCCTGGCCTCAGGCTCCCCAGGCTCTCCCAGTCCGGCCTCACTGTGGTGGCCTCTTGCTGTGGTGGTGGTAGGAGATGCTGGGCCCGGCTGGGAGATGGCTGGGGCCGGAGGATGCAGGCTTCAGACTGTCACTGAGGGCAATCTGTGTGTGGGTTTCTGTGCTCAGCCAGGAGCAGTCACAGCTCATGTCCTGGGGCTGTGTGTGGGCTGGATGGGTGGTATCTGTGGAGCACTCAGCAGGCCTGACACAGGCCTGGTGCTGGCAGTGAGTGCAGAGCTTACTGCTCACTCCAGGCTCCCAGCTAGGGGCTCTAGTTCATTCCGTTGTCAGTGCCCCTGTCCTGTAGAGCCCTGGCACCTGTGTGGGCAGGCTGCTGGCCCTGGGGGATGAGAGGGGAAGTCATCGATGACCTCACTGCTGCTGCCAGGCCTGGCTGGAAGGGCTGTACAGCCTCTCTAAGCTTCAGTGTGGACCCCACAGGGTGGCCGTGGAGTGTCCTGCTGGGGCTTGCCTGCAGCCCCAAGAGTTGCCCTCCTGGTGGCAGGGTGGCTGCGTTGGGTGCGGTCAGGGCTCCTGGAGGGCTGTGTCGGTGTTGCTGCAGGGGCTTTGAGTACACCAGGGAAGAGGCTCAGAACTGGGGCCAGGGACAGACACAAGGTCCAGGAAGCCTGAGGACAGGGACCTGGCAGCTGCTCTACTTGGGATAGGTCAGGGTGGACAGAGGGAATCTTGCAGGAGTGGTGTGGAGGCAGGGACATGGGCAGAGGGGTGGTGGCAACCTGTGTTCATTTCTTTCATAGTAATGAAGTACCAAACTAGGTTTACAGAAAATGTGGTAAGTTCAGACTGTGCACTGCTGGCACATGCATCTTAGCAGTCGTGTGTGGACAGTGGTGAGAGCCCGCAGGTCCTGGGATAGCCTGCCTGCTCCCGCCATCTGCACACAGGAAGAACACTGGCCCAGCCAGGGCCTGTGGGGCAGCATGGTCTTTTGGGTCCTGTTCATGAATATTGACCCCTGGCTTCATGCACACTTGGTCACATGCCTCACAAGTAGCTCTGTCCTCAGCGGCAGCCTGACACCCTTGTGCAGAGGTAGTCCCAGGTCAACCTGCTATGCCAGGTGGAAAAGGCCCTGAGCAGTGAGGCACATGGCCCTGTGTAGGTCAGGGAGAGCCGGTTGTGGAGCAAGCCCTGCTCGAGGGTGGGACCCTACCCCCAGAGCTCAGGGGCCAATGGCAACAGGCCCCACCCCACGGGTGCAGCAGGAAGCCGTGTACTCTGGGTGCGACAGCATGTGGACAGGTGAGATAGGACCAGCTGCCCTCTGAGGACAGGTTGGACGGCCCTCCCACCCGATGCTCCTCAGACTCCCACTGCTGCTGCCTTCTATGGAGGTTAAACTGTGTGTACTTCTGTCTCCTGCACTGGTCACTGTGCCTGCAGCCACACTGCTGTGCTTTCATTCTCTCATTCTTTATCTTTTGGGGGTTTTTTTCCTACACTGAGCCATGTCCCCATCCCACGTTTTCTCTCTTTTTTTGAGACAGGGTTTCCCTAAGTTGTCCAGACTGAGGTCAAACTTGTGATCCTTCTGCCTCAGCCTCCCATAGTGCTGGCCAACTACTAGTTACTGAATGCAGAAGCAGGGAACCCCAGAGTCAGTAACTGCCAGAACCCACAGGCAGAACAGGAGGCTAGGTGGTGGTTGTTTTTTTTTTTTTTTTGGTTTTGGTTTTGGTTTTGGTTTTTCTCCGGTACCGGGAACCGAACTCACGACCTTCCACTTGCCAGGTAGGCGCTTTGCCGCTGAGCTAAATCCCCAGCCCCGAGGCTAGGTTGTTTCATGGGCTCAGATGCACAGGTATCCTGAAGGACTCAAGGTGGGCTGCTGACGAGGTGCCCCAGGAAAGGCCAGGAGGATCATGAGCGGCCTGTGGGGTGACTCAGGTTTGATAGCCCCAAGTACAGGCATGGCAAGGGTTTCCCTCCCAAACCCATGGCTGTGGGATGTGAGGATGTTACTTGGGAGTACTTTCGGAAGGATGAGATATCCCGGGAGGGTACTTCCTGTGGGGTATCAGTATCACCTGGAGGGTTATTTCCTGTGGGAATGAGGTGTTACCTGGGGGTTACTTCCTGTGAATGTGAAGGTGTCACCTGAGGATTACTCCCTGTGAACGTGAAGGTGTCATTTGGGGATTACTTCCTGTGAGAATGACTTGTCACCTGCGGATTATTTCCTGGGAATGTGAAGTCATCTGGAGGGAATAGTTTCTGTGGGAATGAGATGTCACCAGGGGGTTACTTCGATGGATGTGCAAGTGTCACCTGGATAAGGCTACTGCAGTCCCTGGCCCCACGTCATAATGTGTTGATAATAGCCCCAGTCTACCGGGGACCAGAAAGCTTCATGCTTCCTTTCTGCTGCGGTTTGTGGGAGCCTCTACAGTAGGCTGAGATTTGGCCTATGCTGTGTTCCTGGGGCCCCAGTGATGATGGGCCCTCTCCTCACCAGCCATCTTCCCTGTCCACGCCCCTGAGATCGGGCCTTCCCGGGATGAAGACACCTTCTCGGAGAGTGACCCCAGCCTATGAGTCTGCTCGGGGCACCACCTCCAAGTAGGCAATGTCCAGATGCAAGGGTCAGCCGTCTTAAAATAGGTGTCTTCCATCAGAGTGTCTCCACCCTTTGATGGTCTTCACTTTTTTCCCTGCAGAAGGACATGGCCCTGAAGCCTCATGAGCGAAAGGAGAAATGGGAGCGTCGCCTCATCAAGAAGCCCCGGGAGACAGAAAACTGCCCGTCTGCAGAGCCCAGTGTGAGCAGGCAGCCACTAGAAGCCAGCAGCCCTGGGCAGGACTTGGAGCCCGCCTGTGATGGAGGGACCAGGAAGGTCCCGCTACAGCCCTCCAAGCAGGTGAGCAGCAGGGTCTGCCCTGGGACCACGCCAGCACCTGGACACCACCTGTGGCATCCAGGCCAGCCTGCCAACGTTCTCCATCGTTGCTGGGTGTTGGGTGCAGGGTACAGGGCACATGTGATGGAAGCAGGCAGGCAGGCCAGGCTGGTTCACAGAGGTGCAGGCCTTTCCAGGGCCACAGGATTGCAGGGCTAGGGGGCGGAGGGCAGTGCCAAGCTGATAGGCTGGCCCCGTTTCCCGCTGCTGCGTCTGTCAGGCTCCGCCGACCCTGGTGTCCAGTGTGTCTGTGATGAGTTGGGAGCCAAGCCCCCCACTGCGCGCTCAACTGCTGTGCACACAATGCTGTGTGTTAGACTGCGGCAAGGGGGAGGGGTTGTGCCAGCCACAGCGCTGTGGTTGGTGGTCCAGATGCAAGGAAGGGTCCGGGGACGGGGATGCCTGCCCCATGGCCTTTGTGCCTGGGTGGGGTCACAGCCAAGACCAAGGCCTGGAGGGCTGTTAGACAAGTGGAGGCTGGGCCAGGGCAACCCTGGGCATGGGTTTGTTCAGGCTCCCAGCTCAGCTACAGTTGTGCTCCTTCTGGGGACCTGGGCTTGCCCCTTCCTTCAGAGAGGCTTTTCTCAGTGTTGCAGACTCGCCTTGAGCTCCTTGGGAACTGGGCTCTGGTGGGAGCAGCATGCCTCCGGGGCCTGGGCTGGAGGGGGGTCCACAGGCACCTGCCCAGGTGGACACGTGCTCTTTCTTCCATGCAGGTGTGCTCCCCAGAAGGGGGGCCGCTCCCAGCCAACCCCTGGCACCAGAACGGCCCGGCCCAGCACCAGCAGCAGCACCAGCCCAGCCAGCCCAGCCAGCCCCAGGGGCCCCTCCCAGCCCCGTGTCAGCGCTGCCAACCCCGTCGGGCATCCCCGGAGCCCGGGCAGTCCTGCCAGCCCCAGCGGCCACCCCCCGCTCAGCGCAGCCAGCCCCAGCGGTCACTTCTGGGCCTGAGACAGCCCTGCCGGCCCCGGAGGTCACTTCTGGGCCCCAGTCAGCACCGCCAGCCCCAGCAGCTGCTTCCAGTCCCAGATCAGCTCTGCCAGGCCCAGCGGCCTCGCCTGGCCCAGCCCCGCAGGCCACTTTGGGCATTCCCAGCCCCGCGGCAGCGCTGCCAGCGCCTGAGGTCCGTCCTGGTCCCATGGCACCGCTGTCGACCGCTGCGGTCCCTCTTGGCCCCATGGCACTGCTGCCGGCCACTGCGGTCCCTCCTGGCCCCATGTCACCTCTGCCGGCCCCTGCGGTCCTTCCTGGCCCCATGTCACCTCTGCCGGCCCCTGCGGTCTCTGTGGCACTGCTGCCGCTCCCTGCGATCATGGACTACTCCCTGTCTCCCTGGCCAGCCTCGTAGGGCTGCCTCTGGACAGTGCTGCCGGGCACTGCGGTCCCTGCTAGCCTACTGCCCACGCTGTCAGCCCCCACGGTCACTCCTCACCCTGCGACCACGCCGCCGGCCCTCCAGCTCCCTCTCGTGCCAGTGCTGCTGCCCCCGGCGGGCACTCCTATCCCCGTGTCAGCACAGCCAACCCCGCAGGTCTCTCCTGGGCCAGCCCAGCCGGCCCCGGCGGTCTCTGCTAGGTCTCAGGCAGCCCCAGCAGTTAGTTAAAGCTCCTAAACAAACCGGCCCCCCCAAGCCTCCCCTGTTGGGCCCTGGACAGTCACAGCAACTGAAGCGGCCCCTCATGGGCCCAGAGCCACTCCGCTTGCCCAAGCGGCCCCTTCTGGGCCCAGAGAAGCCCTGCCAGCCGCTGCCATCCCTTCTGGGTTCAAGCCAGTCCTGCAAGCCCCAACCATTGCTTCCTATCCCTGAGCGCCCCTCACTTCTGGGGCAGCCAGGCCCACCCCGCCGGCCTCTCCTGGGGTCCCTGAGCCAGCCGAGGAGGTCCCTGCTGGATCTAGTGCCAGCTCGTCAGCCCCAAGTCTCTCTCCTGGCCCTGGGCCGTCCCTGCCAGCCCCTGAGGTCACGGTGGACCCGATCCTCTGCCCCAGGTGTGGCCCGCCAGGCCCCATCCGTGAGCCCTGGAGCCTGATGCCCACAGGTACCCTCTGGGTGTTTGTCAGCTGCCCATGGGGTGTGTGAGCAGGGCTCTAGGGACTGCTGGACTGGCCTGAGGCCTTCTCCAGACAGCCTGGCTGATAGCTGTTGAAAACTGAGGCTCAGCCAGGGGCCGGAGTCCCTACTGTGCAGTGATCAGGCCAAGGCCTGTTGTGCCAGGAGGAAGATGAACCTGTGTCTTCCCACCACTCCACATGCCCTCCGCCCACTGGTGTCACGGTGACCCCTCAGTGTGTGCCACTCCGTGATGTACACACCCCCAGGAGAGGGTACATAGTCCTTGGGACTGGAGCCTGTTGGGACCTCAGTGTCTCTCTCTGTGCCTCTAAATTGCCAACACTGTCTCTGCATCTCTGAGTCTCCGTGCACGTGTGCAGTTGTGCGTGAGTGAGTGTGCATGTGTGTGTGTTGTTCAGGAAGGTATGCATGTGTGCCTGTACATGATGTGTGCCTGGTGCCTGGGAACAGGTGACGGGGGCCAGCCCAGGCCTTGCTGACCTTGGACCTGTCTGGCTGGTGTGCCTTCTCTGCCCTAGCAGCACAGCCTGGTGGTGGGCTGGTCCACCTGGCTGGCCAGGCTTCAGCTCATGGTCCCTTCCTTCTCTGCAGTTGGGTGATGGTGGTACCTGCTTGGGGGTCCTAAGGCTGCAGGAGGGATGCAAGAGTGGTAACCCTGGGCCTGCCACCTTACCACTCAGGGCTCTGGCTCCACCTCACTGGGGGCACTGACAGGCCAGCTCTCAGGGCCTGCAGACCAGAGGGAGCTGCAGGGTATAGAGGTCTAGGGCAGGCCTAAAAGTCCCCTCCCTCCCTCGTCTGTGCTCACCCAGGGCAGTGTTCTGCCTGACTTGATAGCACTCAGACAGACTGCACTGTGGGGCTGTCCCTGGGTCCCTCGCCACCACCTCAGGCCCCAGTCTCAGGGCAGCCCCATACTCAGGTCTTCGGCAGCCCTGGCAGTAATGGGCCCAGCGAGGGAGCCAAGGCTGGGAGAAGGAACAAAGAGCTGCCTTTCCAGATCGCTGCGCTGGCTACCTGAGGGTCCCTGGGCTGTAAGCAGGCGGAGGCCAAGTGCCTACCGGTGCCCCAGGCATGGAATCACTGGGATGTGCAACCACCTGTGTTCTAGCCCTGCATGGGGGGAGGGAGCAAGGACATCACCCCTTCCTCTTGTAGGTCTTGGCAGGCTACTGGCCCAGCCTTTTCCTCCCAGCTCTGGACCACCTGATGGCCCTCGCTCAGCCTGGCAGCTCTGAGCCCCTCCCACCCCAGTAGGCCTCTTCCTGGTGCTTACCTAGGGCTGCCTTCCCAAAATTTGGGGCTTATTTTTCTGATGAAAAAAATAAAAAAATGCCATGCCATTATTTTTTATAACCGCACTAGCGTTTGTAATTTGAACAGAAAGCACGTATCTGTGATGGATTCTGACAGGTGGTTTTTACATATTTGGACTTGGCTGTGGTCATTAATTCCTGAGCAGAGGAGCAGGGAGCCCACCTTGCTGGCCTGCTGTGCCCTGTAGGCTGTCGAGGAAGGGCTCCTGGGAGACTAGGATGGGGACATGGACCAGAGGACCTACAGTTCAAATCCTAGCCCCTGGCCCTGGATGTGCCCAAGCTAGACTGCACGTTTGGAAGCAGTTTGGGGAAAGTGCTGATCTTGCCATAATCTTTTTTTTTTTTTTTTTTTAAATCTTTTTGAGGCAGAGTCTCACTATGCGTTTTAGGCTGGCCTCGAACTGACAGCAATCCTACCTCAGCCTCCCAAGTGTTGGGATTACAGATGTGTGCCACCTGCCATAATTTTAAGCTCAGTGTTCCTCTGGTGGCTGGCACTGCCCTCAGATGTCCCTGCAGCTGCTCTGAGTTGCCAGGGGCTGACAGTAGCCCACTCAAAAAGACCACAGCCTGCCCCTCTCTTCCCAGGGCCCTCCCTGAGAGCAGGAGCTGGAGGGCCCTCCATGTGCACATGTCCTTGTGGGACCACTGGGCAGGGATGCTATGCAACTTAGGCCTATCTGGGCTGGCCATGTCACCATGGGGGGTGCCACACTGACAGTGAGTGCAGAGAGGGCAGAGGCTGTAGTAGCTAGCCTAGTGGGGTTCCCTGGGTCCTTGTGGCCAAGAGCAGGGTGGTCTCCGCTGGACACTGACTGAGGCACTCACACAGCCTGGCCTCCATCCCCACATCCCCTGCCAGCCTCAATGGACTGTGTGCCAAATCCTGGGGCCTCATCCTTGGGAGAACATAGAGTGCCAGGTTTTCCTGTGGGTTTGGCAATTCTCAAGTGCTGGTGGCTAATTGTTCTGTTCATGACCCGCCTGGTGACTACAGAATACAGCTCTTATCTTGCTTGAGCTGGGGGCCGAGGGTGTCCTGCCTGGGATGTAGGCTTGGGTCTTGCAGCTGCAGGGTGTGGAATTAGTCCGGGGTGTCTGTGGTCATCCTGCGGCACAGCCTGGCTAATGAACCTCGAGAGAAGGGTAGCACACAAGCCATCGGCCGCCAGCCTCTTCTGCTGGAGTCTCCTATGCCCACTCGGCACTGCTGTGGAGTGGGGAGCAAGCTGAGAAGCCAGTTGGTGCCTGCTGAGCCCTAGACAAGAAGGGTGAGCTTCATGGAGTGTTCAGTAGGTCCAGGGTAGCTCCTAGAAAGTGACTCAGGCAGTTTATTGTGCCTCTGGGAAGTGAAGCAGGCCCTGCAGTGGGCCTTGGTTGGTACCTGAATCACAGCACATTCTCCCACAGCCAGCCTGGTCTTTCCCTGGGGTCTGCACGCGTGAGTGTGCGTGTGCACATGTGTGCATGCGTGTGCCTGCTTGGGCCTCTGGAGGTACAGGTGTGTCCAGCTTCACGTGGCTTCCAGCAGGCCCTGGAGGTCAGGCCCAAGTCCTACTCCTGTGCAAGGA